AAAACATATTAAAAATAACATATTACAAACATATTAATAACATATTAAAAATAAATACGTTTAATTTTATAAATACGTTTAAAAATATGTTTTGTTATATATATATATATATATATGTGTGTGTGTGTGTGTGTATGTATATAAATTTATTAATTACCAAAAATTTGAAAAAAAAATATTTTTTTGCAAAGGACCGGCCGTAACCGGTTATGGGACTGGACGGCTTAACTGGTTACCGGTAAGCTTGACCGGTTATGGAGGATTTCACCGGAACCGGGACCGGTTATGGAACGTTTTTGTCTTGATCGGGACCGGCCGTAACCGGTTATGGCCCAGCCCGGGACCGATTTTTGGCCACCTCTAACGGTGGTACCATTTAACTATGCGAAAAAATTTCAAACGATGGCACCTTTGACTATAAGGAACAAATATATGAATTTTTTTTCAAACGGTGATACCATTTAACAAAGAAAATGACATTAATAGAATTCGAATTTGGGTCTGGGATGAAATAAAAGTCTTGCAAACTATATATATCAAATAAAACTCGTTCTCATTATAGTTTCAAAATACATATGGTAACACACAACATATTAATACGGTTGCACCTTTCATGAAACTAAATTTTTTACTCTTCAACAGAGGAATAATACGATGGCACGTGCCACCATATGTACCAGTATAGGTCCGTCTCTGTGATGTGGAATTTCTCCTTCATAAATTTAAATTAGAGGAAATATTGTGAAAAATGAAAAATAGAGAAAATAAATGAGAAAATATAAGAAAAGAAAAAAATAAATGAAGTATAAAATGAGAGATATTAATTATAAGGGTGGTGTCTGATTGGTTTGAGTTTGACTCCAAAGGTCAAAAGTACCAGGAGTTCATAGGTTTAAATCTAATGAGGAATAAAAATCCCTTTATGGCCACAGAGGTTCAAATACGATGATTCCGAGCTATCTGCAAAATAAAAGATATTTGGGACACAAATAAGGATATTATTTGGGGAAAATGCAACAATATGCATAAAAATTGGAATTTTGCATTGATAATTAATATTGTTCCATTTATATATAATTTTTTTATTATAATATAAAGTATTATTTTATATTCTTAAATTTCAAGTTTACAGTTTATTATATATAACATTACAAATCGACATGCTAACATACGTTATACGTAACACGTGCAAATTTCAAAATTCCTTTTACGAATTTTTTTTGCATTCCATTCTGAATTTACGATTGTTTTATTTGTTGCGTTACAGAAATACACATCTACTTAGACTTGAGATCATGTGAGACAAAATTGTTTTCGTGAGCCATGATTTTTACATTTGAAACTTCACAGCAAAACATTGTGAAAATAATCTTCATAGTGTTTTTGTTGTGAAGATTCCCTTTTTTTTTTACCTTTACAACATTTTGTTGTGAAGTTTCAGGTGTAAAAATCGTGTCTAATGAAAACAACCTTGTCTCACGTGAACCCAAATCCAACCCCATCTGGTTATTTAAAAGGTAGGAGTAAATTACAAAAACGGTTCATGTGATTTACCAAAACTCTAGATATCCTCCTTACAATTTCGAAATTATACTGATAATTACTATAGCGTTTATATTATAACGGGTTTTGTCTATATATTAAAGTTTTCCAGTTAAGTGCCCTACGGAGGGAATTTTTCATTTTGTGTCTCTCTTTTTATTTTATTTTTAATATTAACTGATATATACCGTGGATTCATAGATATGGTTAGGATCTTGTAAGACCACCATGTTTTCATGAGACGTGTGATTACGTGAGACCAGCTTGAAAACATAAAAACACTGAATGTTCACATCAAAAAACATTACGAGGGTTTTTATGTGTTTTTAGTATATCCGTAGTGTTTTTACTATAAAAGTTCAGTATTATTTCATGGTCTCACAGGTGTAACCAAAATAGACTGGTGTTGATTCGTCTGTTAAAATATATTAGAGTAGACCACAAATCTGATTCATGTGGTTTGTTGAAAATACATATTTCATTCACTATGGTTTTGAAATTACAAGATGACCATCATGGTTTGCCAAAACGTTTGGAGTTGTTCCTTCTTACTAACGACCGTTAAAAAATTACATTATACGAGGAATTTTTTTGTCTTTTATCCAATCCACATAGATCAAAATTATAAAATCGATTTTCATTGGGTAAAAGACAAAAAAAAAAATGATAAAATGACGTAAATACCCCTTATTTAGCGCAAACTTTTAGCAGTTGTTAGAAGAAAGAAAAAAATCAGGCCGTTTTTGTAAACTACAATGGTCATTTTGTAATTTTAAAACTATGGAGATAAAAAGTGATATTTTCGACAAACCATAGGGACCAAATTTTTAGTTTACTCTGACATATTGTATAAATTTTGTATTAGAATTTGACTTATATGGTGATAAATTGCATTTTTATAAAAAAAATGTTTGAATTAGTTTATAACAGTACCATACCCGATGAAACTGATGAGATACTTTTTTTTTTCCTATCGAAACACTAAAAACTCTTGTACTGAATTAGAATAAGTTAATAGGTTAGAAGAGAGTAACTTATCAAAAACTCTTTATTACCGGTGCCAAAATGGTATAAGTATTTATTTAGGGGTTGTTTGGGATTGCTTATTTAAAACACCTTATGTTTTTTGTAAAAGTGTTTATTAACTTATGTGATATCAAAATGGAGTTTTGTAAAAAGCGTTTGTATTAGCTTATAACGATAACAAAAAGCAATAAGCTGATAAGTTGTTTATTAGTGTTTGACAAATTTTTGCTTATATATGTAAAATGACCAAAAAGAAAATTTATATCAATAAGATTAATAATTAACAAACATTAATAAAACAAGGTTAAAATGATAAACTAGTAATTAACAGTTTTTCATAAGTCGGGAAGAATTAATTTATTAAATACTTCTTATTACCGGTTTGATACTGATATAAACAGTTTTATTTTTCCTCATCCAAACACTAACATTTAACTTTATGACCGGTGCAAAACTGAAATAAAAAAATAAAAAAAAACAAATCCCAAACACCTCCTTATTTTCCAAGAAGACTAAAAAAACTCGTTGTTTAACTCCTTGTTACCGATAGCGAAGAAGTTAATAAGGAATTTAAGTAGCAATCCCAAACACCCCCTAAACTGGTTGTCGAATCCATGGCTGATCCCGATTGCAGGCAGGGAGACCATACGTCGAGTTCTCACCGTCTTCGGTAAGTTCGCCGTCGATTTCTGCCGTTAATGTCCCTCGATAATTAAGGTTACATACATTATCTCCTTCATGTTACAGGATCGGAATTGCTGGTATTAATCATCAATTCCTTTCAATTATCGGTGTCGATTTTAGGTTTAGTATATGTTTTTTTTGTGGATTAGTTATTTATGAGTTTCATGCGATCAATTTGGGTCGTTTATAGGGTTGTTACGACGATTTGATTATTTTTAGGGATCGTATTTGGTTTGTGGTATAGACTCCATGATTATAAGGATAAATTAATGATACAGTTTACTGTAATTTTAACTGAATCATTCTTTTTTTGGCCACGAAGCAGCAAACCTGAACAACAATACAGTAATGATGGAGGAGATCCAGGCTCGAATGGAGAAAATGGAGGGAAATTTGCATATTATAAGGCTAGATGATGGAGATTCAATCTTATGTGACGTGGACTTAGATCCTCAGTTACCTGAACCCACAGAAAAATCAGAAACTGATATCAATAAGGTTTTTATTCTATCACGCTTATGAAGAAGAGTGCTAAATCTGTGGATTGTAAGGTAAGTATGCATTTGCCAAATAGCTATCTGCAGTTTTGTTACTGTTTTAAGTGTGGATTGAACTCTAATGCTTCTCTTTATGAATCTCTCTGCGATTTTAATTTCAGTTCACCATTTGACTATATGAGTTATGTGATTATGCTGTTATTTAGTTATTTTCTCGTGAATCAATCATGTTTCCTGTTTCCATATATCGAAATAAGTGAAAATTTTCAACCAATTTCGTGATTTTAAGACTGGGTAGTTTTCTTACCTTAATACCAGAACAGGGGATTTATCATGCAATAACTGAAGTAATTAGGAATAGTTATGCATATGCTCATGGATTTCATTATTTTGGGTGCTTCCTTGATTAAAAAACTCAAGTTGGCCATCATAAAATGCGGGCATTATTTAGTCCTTCCGCCCTAGCAACAAAATTCTCAGGACCGGCCTGGCTTCAATGACATCTTCAAAAGTTTGTTTTATAAGTCAAGATGAGAACTGTAAATATTTTGAGAACCGGTGAGCCAACTGTTCATGATGAATAATCATGAATGTTATTCATCATGCATATCATGTATTTTATGATACATTGTCATTATTGATAATTTTTGTGATGAATATCTATTACTGCATTCATCAGGAATAATACATGAATAGTTGGTTACCTATTTCCCAAAATATGAAGCCAAAAATGGCGAGATTTGATTATACCAACCATCTCCACGAGACCACTAACCAATCATTATGGAATACCCACCTTGCAAATAATCACCTTGCAAAAGAAACTAAGTAATCAATCATTCAGGAAGCAATTTTGAGACCAAAAGAAACTAAGTACACCATCTTGTAAATAAGCAATCACTCCAGAAGCTATTTCGAACTTATTAGGAATACCCATAATGCAACTACAAGTAGTAATCGACTTAGAATAGCAACCTGTAAGTTAAGTGAGACTTGTATCTCCAAAAACAGAAGAAAACTATCCCCTTTGACACATAACAACTTAGCAAAATGCCAATGAGATGGATACATTCAAGATCATAGTAAATGCCAGATTATATGCCAACGAGGAAGATTACAACATGATACTAATATGCCCAAGACGAGCATAAGTGTTATCTAAAGATATTGAACAGTCAGTTTTCAACGTTTATTCTTAGTTAAAAGTCTATATGAAGACAAGTTCACGACAATCAGATTGTCATATATTGCTCTGTCAAAGCTTGTGTTCATGTTAACGGGTTGGCGTATATGTTTCGATTTTGATGAGATGCACTTGGAATTACTTGGATGTTTATGGTATAATGAATTAATTTCGAGTTGGTGAGCATACTTTACGCCAACTAAAAGTACATTAGTTTCTTTTTATGCTACAAGTCTCGTCGAATGAATTAGTTGATGCTTCTGGTATATGTTTTCAATTTTGATCAGACGCATTTAAAAGTAACTTGGGTTGTTATTTACGGTCTGATTTTATTGATCTTGGCTTGAAAACCTATTTATTAGATTTAGACGAGCCAATCAATTTTGTACATACCATTGTGACAGTTGATGGTTCTGTAGTTGATAAATTCACGAATAGAAATGCAAATTTTGTTTCATACCTTTACAGATGTACTTTAATTGCCGATTTTGCTTAAAAAGTCATATACATTCATTTCAGTTTTACGCTTGAAAATAGTTTGTTTGACATCAAATTAAAGCATAACAACCACCAGGAAAGAAAGTAAGGGGATACTTCTTGGTGTAATTTTCATGTGTATATGTATGAGAATTTTGTATTTCCTCAATTGACCTTTCAAGTTATGATAACAAAATTGAAAATTTATGAACAAATAATTAATAAGGGGTATTATAGTCATTTACCATAAGACACCGGGGGTTACTTGAGCTGATTTGGCGAAATACCATAGGCGAAGGCGCTATAACCTAACCCTAAGAGAGGCGGGCATCTTAAGCCTAATATATCTTGTCTATAAATACCTATTTATGAGTATTGGGGCATTCATTCTTAAGCTGAAGTCCGCCGCACAGAAATACAGAATACCCACATTACGATCCATGGCGCAAGGTAAAATTTTTTTCCTTCTTTTTCTATTGAGCTATACAGAATTTGATTTTTCATATTTTGTTGCCTTGGACTCGTGCTTGTTCCAAATGTTCCTGGAAATTCTTGCTCCCAGTGGACCATTTGTATCTATATGCATCAGGATCCATTAGGTTTTGCCTCAACAAAACAAAGTTAATGTTGATGCTATATGTGCCCAATTTGATTTATGATGCATTTAAAATTGATTGAGTTGTTACTTTTGCTCCGATTCGATAGGCTTTATAACAATCGCTTTAAATTTTCACTCAATTGATTAGATCTACTTGTTGATAGTGATTTCTGTTCTAGCCAATGTGATTTTGTGATTGGTTTTATAGTTAGATTGATTCGTTACTAAAAATGTAACTATTTGTTTTGCTGTATGATAAATGTATGAATCATCGGTTCATTCGTTGGATCTTTATCGATCTAACCAGAACAATAAACTTTAAAATTACATCCAAAGTAGACACGTTTGGTTTTAGATGATATCTAGGGAAGATTTCTCAACAATCGGAAAAGGTTTTCGTCAAGAATCGGCGGGACTATATGAATTACGCTTTTTGAATCATGTCTAGGGCAAAATTAATTGCCCTGTTAGAAAGAGAGAAAATCGGTAAATATTAGCATTGCCGTTATCATTGTTACGCGATTGGTTTAACATCACAACCCTACCCTCACCCTCGGTTTCAATAATATCTAGGTACAAAAGTGAAGCCCGATGTAGCCTAACTTTCAATTTTTCAAAACTTTTATCGATCGTCTTGAAATAAAATAAATTCTTGATTGATACACTTAGATGTATGTATGCACATGTTTGACTGATGAACTATCTTACTGTTTTGAACTTATTGAAAAAACTCTGTTTGAGCTGGTTTATCGAAGAATTTTCCATCTTTTTTAATTATGCCACTTATATTTTACATAAATATATCTTACATTTTACATAAATATGTCTTATATTTTTTTAAAAAGCTACTTCAGCTGGTTTCTTGTATTCTTGATATTCTTGCATTTTGTGACAGAACTGAGTTTGGTGCTCGTCCCAGAAACCATCTTCACGCACGAAGAGTTGCGTGACTACTTGAGTCAAATCCGAGTCAGGGCACCACACTACATCGAGATAGTGTGTGGTTGCACGAGCGGCAAGTATGGAGACTCCCTCGGCCTCCTCAGGATCAGCGACGATGGCACCATCTCCGCCGTATGCCATTGTTGCAAAGAGTGCAAACAAGGCATGATAAAACTCTTGCACAACACCCACCTTTTTCTGTATAGATTTTTATAAAATATTTATATACAGCAAAACTCACACACACTCTCAACTTTATTGACCCTCAAACCCTTGACCTCGAGGGTTGTTGGGATCTAACAATAAACCAGATCCCTCTTGACTAATGACACTTTGCTGCTTTGACCTGGGATTATGTGAGACCAGGTTTTTTTTGTGAGACCCGTGAGACTACATAAATAACACTGAACCTTCACAGCAGAACACTGTGTCGGTAAACCTTCACCATGTTTTTGCTGTGAAGTTGCGGTGATTTTTGTACCTTCATAATGTTTTGTTGCGAAATGTCAGTGTTATTTTGTGTTCTCACGGGTCTCATGAAAATAGGCTGGTCTCACGTGAATCCAACCCTTGTTTCTTTTTGTATCTTTTGTGTTAAATGAACTGAATTTGGTATTTTTGGTCGATAACTAGTGTTTGATTCGCCTGTTGAGTTTGTAAAGCATGGCTCGAGAACTTCCAATGTGCCAAACTGGCGAAAGAAGGTTTGGATTCTCAATCAAAATGGTCAAAAGATCAAGATGATTGACACCAGTTTCCTTAAGTATTACTACGGAGATAACTTCCGGAGGCCGCACAATGAATCCGGTCACCGTGACCAGTTCCTGAGGTGCACCGCCTGCAATAAGGTCCGCCGGTTCGAGCTTCGGTCAAGGGAGTTATGTCGGTTCTATCACGATGCCGCAGCAAGTGGGAACCAAACTTGCTTCAGTATGATCCCGGGGAGGTAAGTCCGTCTGCTTTTGTGGTAGAGGAAAAGTCTACATACATCTTACCCCCAAATCCCGCGTTATAATTACTCTTCGTTTGGTTCAGGTGGACGTGTGAGGACCTCGAGGAGCGGATCAGCTCAAGGAGCCGCACTGGTTGCCGAAAAAACATCCGGTGCAGAGGGTGCGTGTATTGCGTCTGTTTCGGATGCCGCCTTTGTCGGTTTGAAGATTGTACCTGCCGAATGTGTGTCGACTTTTACGCAAATGTATCTTAGTCGGTTTGTGTTGTTACTAGGTTCGGGTCAGTTTCTTCCGATCTTCAAGTATCAATTTTCACTACTAGAAATTGGCATTGGATGTCGTTTATGTTTTTGTTAAGTTACGTTTATCGTAAAACGACTACTTCAATATATCGAAAGAAATATCAAGTGTTTGAATGTCATCGCGTGTTTTTTCGAGTCGTATCGAAGGAATTTGCCGTCTTCTTGTGTGTTCCTTTTATTATTTCATAGATTCCGAAACACAAAACACAACTAAAGATGCAGAAGAAGTGTTTTCGACAAGATCGAGCTTAAGAGATACCGATTGACAGATGGTTTTCGAGGCATTTGATGTAATGGAACGTCGCTTTTATAGTCTCCCCCGGAACATGAATATGTTCAGGTTTGGTCTCGTATAAAACCTGGATGTCAATCAGTGTCTCCGCTTCTCCAACCGCGGTTAACATAAAACCAGTCGTGTACGAAGAAAACCCGTGATCCAAATGCCCTCCTTCCAGTATTTCAAGAGCGATCTGATGCCGAGATTCATCGAACTCGACAATCTTCTCCCTCTGGTAGCTGCTTTTCGGTACCCCTAACACAAAAAGTCCAAGAAATCATCCCACCGAAAACCTGCTTTTCGGCTTTATACGACGTCAAATATGTCTAAGTATCCTAATAAACTGATTTATATACAGGGCTTAGGTTTACAAGAAGTGTTACGATATGTTTATATGCCGTTTTTGAGCGTCTTTAACTTCTAACAGGTGGGTTTTTACAACTGTCTGTGTGGATTAATCCGTGTGGTATGGAGTGAGAATTTTTTTGTTCGGGAGGGTCTTTTTCATATAGATGGAAGGAACATGTTTTTTAATTCGTAGGGATAGTTTTGAAAAACAAAACTTGAATTTCAGGATAAAGCTCACCCCAAAAAGCTTACTGAATAAGCCACTTTGTATACAAGTCACTACCAAACAGTCACGAAGTCCCATTAAGTTGCTAACAAAACAAAACCTATAAAACCAATTTTATTGCAGCGAGCAAGAATCAAGACTTACCGGGGTGAAATTTGAAGACCAAGATGGTTCCAAGGCGGCCATCTCCATCGAGCAACTCGACTTCCTTCACGATATCGGGTAAAACCGTGGTTGCCGTTTTCCCTATATCGATCGCCATCGCCTTCCATAAATCTCCGATGGGTATCGGAACCTTCACTTGGGCCGTATCTTCCCTCATCGATCGATCGATTCACAGATCGTGTTCTTCGTTCCTTCACCGATGGGGTCAAACTACACTTATAATAGCTAGTCAACGATCCAAGATCCCGAAATCAAGTCTAGATATATGATTAAAAAGGGTAGAATCTTTGGTTGTATATATAGGACAACAATGGCAGCAAAGCATCCCCCTTAGTTTATGGTTGAAATGACACTTCTACCCCTACTTTTTTCTTGACTGTTTTTCAGGGGCATGGGATTGGTCGAAGTGTGTGTAAGTTGGCCTTGGAGGGCGAATCTATGAAGGCTCTAGTGGGGTCACGTGCAACCGCTCTACTGATTTTCGGAAGTAGAATGTTTTTTCGGGAAGATGACCATTGTAGTTTGTAAAAAACGTCCAAATTTGGTCCCTTCAACTAAAGGGTGTAAATGAGTCGAACCGAGTCGAGTCGATTCGAATAGTAGGTTATCAAGCTTGAGTTTGACTCAAACTCAAATAACTTTTTCCATGTAGGGCTCGAGCTCGACCTAGAATAATTTTTGAATTATCGAGTTCGAGCTCAAGCACGAGCACGAGCTCGTAATTGATTAACTTGTTTATTGACTCGAGGTTGATAATTTTTATATTTTTGTTGTATAATTTATAAACATATGATCATGTTTGGATCGAAAAGTGTGTGCTCGAATGGCTCGGCTCGACTCCAAATATATAATCGACTTTTCGAATGAGTCGAGTTGAATATCAGTGCTATAAAGCTTGGGTCATAAGTTAAACGAGTTATGTTTTATGTTTGCGATCTACTCGAGCTCGAGAATTATTAAACTCGAGCTCGAATAGCTTGTTAAAAACTCGCTCGTTTACACCCCTACTTCTTTTAATAAGCGTCCTGTTAAATGAAGGATATTTACGTCATTTTATCGATCTTTTTGTCTTTTATTCAATCAAAATCATATACTCATGTGGTAAAAGACAAAAAACGTCATTTAACAGAGTTTTTGACAACCAAATTCGAACGTTTTTACAAACACGATGATCATTTTATAATTATAGGTACAAAAAGTGTTGTTTTTGACAAACCTCAAGGACCAAATTTGTAATTTAAAGTTTGAAAGGTTTAAGTCTTTGGCTGTATGTATTAAGACAAAAATGGCAGCAAAGCATCCCCTTAGTTTATTATTGATAGGAAATCCATTGTCCTATATGGTGAATATGTAGTGGTTAATTTACCGACAATAAGTTGCTGTTTGGTAGTTGTTGAATGATTTGGTGTAGAATGATTAAGTAGTCAAAATGATTAAGGGACTCTCATGATATAATGTAAAATAAAATATAATTGTTTGGTAATTGTGTACAATGAAATGATGGCTCTTAATGGTTAAGGGAGATCCAGAATACAAAATCATTCAGAGAGTTTTAGAACCATTAAGATACAAACTTTTTTTTTGCCAAACAAGATTCACCTCTTAACGATTCAGAGATTGTCTCTTAATGGAACTATTAAGAGATAAACAAACAACCCCTAAGATTTGAGTATCGATTATCAAGGGCTTTTTACCATAGGTTACTCGTTAAGGCCTCCAGTGATTTTTCCGGTTGTTCTACCAGAGTCTGTAAAATTAGTTGAGGTGTACGTAGACTGACTCGGTTGCCTATGGTTAATAAAAGAAAAAAAAAATGAATGGACACATGGTGTTTGTTTCATATATACAATACAATTAAGACGTTTTATTAGTATTTTTATATGATATTATTGAAAAAAAATGTCTTATAAAAAAATTACAAATATTTTGTTAGAACTCAATGATTATCTTAATTATATTTTAGATTTTTTATATTTAAAATGAGATTATTATCTTCTATTTGATTGTGTTTATCTACAGTTAGTTACACAAATTCAAACATTTTAATAAGTTGTACTTGCGTGCAATTTACTTATAATCTTGAATTTTAAGTAATATGCATAAATAAACAGTACTTCATGCATTAAAAATGATTTTAAGAATTTTTGTCAAATACTTTGTAACATAGTATAAATATAATAGATCCATTGGTCGAGATTTTTATTTCAAATTAAATTAAAGAAAATAAGAATCAATTTCTACTTTCATTTTCATTCCCCTTGACAAAATATCCAAAAAATGTAGTTCACACTTCACAAGTTCACATAGTGATGACCAAAAACTGGTCCCGGGCTGGGTCGGGTCGGTCCCAAGCTTTCTCATAACCGGTTTTGGTCTCGGTCGAAAATGGTAGGACCGGTCAAGGTACTTCATAATTGGTTATGGGTCTCCAGTCCCGGTCCCAACATTAAAAAATAAGATTTTTTAATTTTTTTTAATGATATATATATTTTAATACATTATAAAATTTACAAATTGGTCACTCAAATACCCTTTAAAAATACGTTTTAATATAATTAAAATTACATTGTCTTATAGAAATACATTATAAAATTATTTAAAAATATATTTATTTATAAAATTATTTGAATTTTCGGGCCAGGCCGGGCCGGTCCATAGCCAGTCCCATAACCGGTCCCGGTCTCACGAAACTACCAAAAACCCCAACCATCCCGGTTTTCGGTCCCATAATTGGTCTTTACTGATCCTTGCCGATTCCGGTCCCGGTCCGAGCCGGGCCGATTTAGCCATCACTAAGTTTCATAAATACATAAATCTCCGTTCGGCCCAACATATAGGAAACAACTTGGCCCACTAATAATAAAAAGCCCACAGGCCCATATCTTGCATTCTATTCTACCCTCGAATGGAAAGAAATAGGGGTGCTTAAAAACCCGACCAACTCGATCAATTCAACGCAAGATAATCTAATTTAAAGAAAACCCAATGTTTAATTGAGTTGTAAAATCTTCAAACTGTAGATATTTGGTTGACACTGGTTTATGGTTATTTGAACCCCACCTGACTCTGATGAACATGATACTTTTATTTCTTGAATTTAATATATTGTAAAGTCCCAATTAATATGTGTATTTTACAATTACACTGTCACATACCCTCTTCATATACATATATTTCAATCTCTTTTCCATGTCTAAATGTGAGAATAATTTGTAATATACTCAAGTAGTATGAATAATTTGTAGCAAATGACTGATCATAAAAAAATGAATTACGAGTAGAAAAAACAACATATTCAAGGTTAAGAGAATATTTTTGCTGTACTGAGGTATCAACCCAACCAACACGTACAGTTTGGTTTGGCTTGGGTTGCACTTTGGTTTGGGTTGGGTTTAGATATTTTAAACCACGAACATTAGGATGGGTTGAGTTGAGATTTTTCAAACAACAAGCATTGGGTTCAGTTGTTCAAATTCCTCAAAACATGATCCCGTGAGCACCCGTAGAGACGATGATGTAGCATAATATCATTGCCTACCTCATTAGTAAATCTATAAGCCACATCATCCGTCACGTAAGCATGGTAACTCGTTAATAATTAAACAAGTTACCCAAATACTTAAAAATTTATCATATCACATTTTAGGTATCAAACATGGGTTTTAAAAGTACGTTACCCAAGATATGAATCAAAACAAAGTATATTACATTTTCATGCAATTTACCCTTGTTTTATTACGTTCATAACAATAATAAAAGTAGGCGACAAAACCAAAATATTTATTATTTAACAGATACATTTTAAGAGGATTTTAGAATATCTCCAATAGATTCACCACAATGGAGAAAAATAAAGATTTTGAGGACTTTGGGGATGTTTTTTTTCTCCAACTGATTCTCTAAAATGGAGAAGGTAGGATAGAGAGTTGTAGAAATCTCCGATTTGAACCACAAGGATGGTGCCTGATTGGTTTGAGTTTGGCTCCAAAGGTCAAAAGTACCAGGAGGTCTAAGGTTCAAATCTAATAAGGAATAAAAATTCCCTTGTGGCCACAGAGGTTCAAATGCCGTGACTCCGAGTTATCTGCAAAACAGGTGGTCGCCCTGGGATTAGTCGACTCGCATAACGAGTTGGATATCCAGGTTAATAAAAAAAAACTCTCCAGTTTGGAGAACACCCCAGAAATTACATGAGAGGAAAATTTTATTTAATATATTTCTACCAATAAAAAAATTTGAAAATAAATATTTAGAAAGAGAAATAAAATTTTATTAGATGAAAATAAGATTTGAATAATATAATCAATGTTGTAATCTGCAAAATGAAGAATCTGTTGGAATTAAATGTATTTTTGTCTTAAAGATTTTAAAATTTTATTCACCATTTAAAAAAAAAATTAGAGAATCTGTTGAAAATACTCTTAGGCTATGCTTGGCAAAATAGTTGATAATTTAACTGGTGAACTGATCATGTTTGATAAAAACTAGTTAAGAAATGTAAAATAATCAAAAAAGACATTAAAAAATTAGTCAGTTTTATAACATTTCATAATATAATTAAAACAGATAATTAATAATATAATATTTT